AGACGAAAGGTAGATGTGTTATTCGTAGAAAAATCTCTGAAATATATATACAAAGTAATCAACATCACTTTAATTAGATTATAAAGATATTGTATAAATAAACCAGTTAATTAGACAACAATATTCCAAATATAACTAATCATTATTACATACATGTATACACAGATATATATAACTGGTCAAATGAACGTGTTTGTTAGTTTATTCACCTTATAAGGTGTATTATTCGTATTGATAATAAATATATTATCAAGAATGAGGGCATGATTCACAACGTTACATTTGTTTAATCTATGATAACAACATTTATTTATTTAAAAACAATATCAGTAATATAAGAAGTACTGCGTATCAGTCAGTCAGTCATACAAAACGTAAAACCTGACACACGTAAATCAGTTTGAGTCACTATAATACATTAGCTCAGTGAGACAAATTTATTTCAACACATATTTCAGAGTAGTAGAAGTAGTAAGAGTATTAGTTGTAGTAGAAAAATCAAGTATTAAGAAAGGTAATAAGATATATCGGACCTCAGATTTTAGAAGACAATAAGTGAATACACACACCTGCGTTATTGATAATAATTTTGAAGCATGTTACCTCCAAAGTTCCGCCGAATCCTATATATATATATATATATATATATATATATATATATATATATATATATATATATATATATATATATATATATATTGTATATACATTTTGATAACAAATTAATTATCATTTAATCAAGATTTATAAACATCAATAAATGTAGTTTCTTTTTCCCAAAAACACTATAAACAGTAGAAAAATTTAATCTACTAACTGCCCCCAAATGCTTTGGTACAGCCGAGAATGGGGAGAGTCCGCTCTCCCTCTCCATACGCTTTCACATGGCCACGCGTATATAGCCTTTGCCAGGGAAGTCCTACTCACTGCCTTCTCATAGTGGCATTACTATTGTTTACGAAATTGAGAGGATGAAAAGTCCACCTAGGGAAGTTGGAAAACCCTCGTACCAAACAAATGGTGCACATGGGCTCCAGGATCCCGAGGGAACAAATGGCTTATGAACCTATTGTTGGCCACCAGCTACCATGGGACTGCATCTCCTCATGATGCTCCACTATCCTGTGGATCAGATCTTTAGGATAAAAGTTCCGGATGTGGCCACCTAAATAATCACCTGGTTCAGTTTGGGCCCCTGGGCAGTATCATAGCCCTCACACAAATCAAATGAGATTTGTGCGGAGCATATATATCTAGTGCCCCTTTGTACCAATATTTATTTGTTTAAATAAATAAATAAATAAAATCTACTAACTACAATTACTACTTACATTTCTTATCGAATACTTCAATAAACTCATCATAAATTAAATGAATGATACATATATATTAAAATAATATAAATTTAATATTTTTTTGAATTCAGTATTTTCATTTGAAGCATTTCAACATGTTACATAGACACATAGAGAGAAAATAATTAAAACAAAGATTACACTGAAATTATGAGGCGAAAAATCATAATAATTAATTTCATATTTATGTCTAACTCCAACTAATCCACGAAGTTGAGCAACTGTTCACCAATTATCTTCAGTGAGTTCCTATCACACAACAGACGTGGTTTGAACTCCACTGGTCACTACTTCTCACTAGAACTCCAGGTTTTACCTCTCGAAGTCAGTCACTAGTGAGCATATGATTATAATCAGGAGTTTTGTGGAGATTTATTATTTTCATAGTCGAAAGCGTGATTCCAGTGCTTCCAGGTTTTCCTTCAATTGACTTACGCTTTCAACTATGAAAATACTAAATCTCCACAAAATCCCTTCTAATTTCATATTTATTTGAATGAAAAATTATTAATTTACTAAACAATTTCCCTTTTGAAGAAAAATATATAACCACAACAAATGTATTTATCATTATATTTTAAGATTTATGGTGACTAGTTTTTATCAAGTAAAGATATTTTTAGTAGGGATAATACTTGTGTTTAAGTTCTTCAAGTGTTTAGATAATTGAATGAATGAAACTTATTCCTTAAAATAGAATATCTGTGAGTATCTATGTATCAGACTATTTTCAGCAGAATATATTTTCAGTTATCTAAATAAAAGTATTTTGTAGAGTAGTTGGAATTTTTGACCTATTAGTTCTCAAGTTTGATATGCTCTAACTTACAAAACTACTATGTTCCATGACATTGGAAGTATGTATTCTCAAAGAAAAACTCAATGTTATGAAATGTACAAATTTAGATATACTTAATTCTGCTAGTTCAATATTAGTAGCAGGTAAATCACTCATGAAAATACTCGAATCCACGACTATTACGGTTGTGATGGAAAACGATGATGAAGATAGTTGATACAACGTTCAGAAAACAGTATTAATTGTCTATTTCTAGAGTGAGACTATCATTATTTAAAAGAGATAAGAGATTAACCTATTTTCTATAAAGCACTTAAAACTGTACACAAACAGATTCAGATGAAAATTTAAAGATTTAAATAAAATGCTGTTTGATGCAACCTAATGAACTTCGGTCTATTAGCTGGCGATAGAATATTGTAGTACCAATAAGATTAATTAAATAATTACTGTATCACAGTAAGTAGGTACATGTCTGACCCGTAGTTACCGTAACACAATGGTTGAAAGTTGAGTGTTAAATCCACTAAATCTTAATTCAGTTTTACGACCGAATGTACGAGAGGTTTGAGAGTAGTACAGTATTTCCCTAAAGACATACAACACATCAAGCTATGATATATGCAATATTTAAAATACTATGTCATACTCTCTACACAATCCATGAGATTTTCAGTGCTGATGAAAAATGTTTAAAACTATAAATCCAATATTATGAGGTCATATAATCTAAAAACGACCACGGTGTGATCAATCTCCAACTGTAAAGTTTAAAAGTAGATGAAACGATCAACAGAAATCCACTTTATCTCTCACGTTCTACAAGAATAAATAATCAATCCTTCAGGAGATAAATAACTTGAAAATATTGAATAGATAAATAAAAACACATTTAGCTGTTTAGAATGAGTATTGAATACTATTGATATGTAATAAATATTACCATTAAGCGATAAACTTATATACATGATATATAATTTAGGTCCTTTCAAATGTTTTCCATTAATGATTTAGTTCCTTATTTCCCATATACTATGATTAACAGATTGATTTGGCATTTATAAATAACAATAATAATAAATTGTGAAGACAACAATTAAAAAATTAACAAATGAAACCGATAGATTCACTTTAAATATGTAGAATTTTTCAGACACACAAAATACAACAATCAGAATGAATAAAAATTAGTATTCATTACTCTAATATTTACAATTTAGAACTGATTAACAAGCCTATTTATCGCATATTTCATTTGGATTGCCATTAATTAGACTCAGATACAGTGTAAGCTTGAAAATGTCAAATAGGTATGTATGAAAGAGAAGAAAAACACAACAACAAACCCCATGATTCTAACCCTAAGGATAATAGAATTTCATTCAAATGTAATTTTCTCATTATTGAGATATAAAATGATGGTATAACTGGACAACAGTTTAGTATATTAATCATAACTGACAACAATCAGTTTAGTGAATATTTGTAATAGTATGAATAGTACTACTAATAGATAGATAACTGTGAATACTTACCAAAAAAAAATAACGTAATGTACAAATTTTATTCAAGACTAGATTTATAGAAAGGTCAACAAAAATTGAATTAATCTTAGTTGGAATTATCCTAAAACTTGGATGATATACATATTATCATCATAGATTAGTGGCAAATAACGAGTACCATCTGTTTTAGATGAAGGAAAATCAGAATGATGTAGTGTGTGAGGCATAAAAAAGGCACACAAATGTTACCATTACAAGATAAACTGGGAATTTACAATTCTTCTTCTAGAAGAAATCACATTTAACAAATTCACAAATAGTAATAAGAATTTATAAATAGTATGTGGGGTATTCAGCTTTATAGTTTACATCACAGACAGACCATAATTAGACAAAAATCGGAAACCAAGAAACACTAGACAGCTGCTTGATCCTAGTATGGGACTCATGTGCTAATTAGTAATTTATTTTGAGAAGCGATTTCCAGAGTGCTAAGGAGAAGCTGTGACTAATGGAAGTCAACCATGTCGGGTGTGAGTCAGTTACCTAAAAGTACTATTGGACGATGGTTGCGCAATATCGCAAATTAATCGAAGTTAAGCATGTAAATCATTGGATTCCGACTTATTGTTCTAAAGTTAAGTGCTCACCGTGAAATCCAAGTGTCCTATGTTTAACCGTCAGTGGGGTAGTGGATGTACACTACTGAGAGATCCTATACTTATTTAATGCTTCATAGTTGTCAATAGTTGTCTAACTAGGATCAGTCTATAATGTAAACTAGAAAAGCTTGTAACTTACACGGATGTATTGGATGATTTTGATTTCATGTCGTTTTCAGTTAAGAATGTAAAAGAAGACCGATATCCATGATGGCGATTAATCAATGGAAAGAAACAAAGCCCACCCATAAAAGTCTTTTCAATAAAGACATTAGATGATCACGATATAAACAATGAAAGTACACAACTGTCATTTACAACTTATGAAACTAGAAAAATTAAGGTGAAACACATTAGAATTATAAAGAAACATAGATTCAAAGAAAAGAATAGTACCCTAGAATAAATGTAAACTATACTCATATTCAGTAAAGTGACACCAACACAATTAACAAAAACAATAAAAAAGATCTACCACTAGTGTGAGAATCATGTTTTGTGTACATGCTTTTTTATATTACTGGTAATGAACAATACAATTACACAACACTGTATACAATTGAGCAATAAAATAATTCCGAGTGACTTACAACAATCAAAGGATAATAAGATTTATGCATACCAACTTTCGTAAAAGTAAAAAAGGTCCATCAATAATCTAAAACGTGTATACAATTACCTGTTGTTGTACAAATTGATCTGTAACTACCTTGCTCAGATCATTGTTATTATCTTCCAAAGATATGAGAGAGCTATTCAAAGCTCTTGAACGTTTAGCGGAATTTCGATTGTCTGGATTGTTTGTTTCAAATACTGCATGATGATGACAAGTAGAGTTCTGATTATTACTAATCAGATTATCAACTTGAGAAGAACCATTTCGACAAAGATCACATTGATTCTTATTATATACATCGTGTGTATTTGTCGAATGTGAGTTAGTATACATTGTAGTAGTAGTAGTATTCGGAGTATCATTTTGTGAACAATGATTTGATAATAATGATACACTACTATCACAAGAAATGTCTCGATTATCAGTAGATGTTTGTACAGAATTATCACTATTTTTATTGTCCATAAATTGATTTTCAGATTGTGAATCAATTAGAACTGTATTAAAATTATTCTGAACAGATATCGAGAAAACAAGAAAAAGATGAGAAATTAGTCAGTAAAACTTTAAACACAGTAAACAGTCAAAGTATAGATGATTTTGGAATTCCAAACTACTACTTACCAAGACGGGTGATATTTGCCAGTGTATGGTATTGTAATTGGAAGAGAGCTATAGGTGATCAAACCAATTCATGGCATCAGTTCATGAAGTCATTGACTATTGGTATGAGTTGTGCTGATAGATGCGAGCTACCTAGTTTGGGTCCGAGTGATAATCATGATCAGTGGGATGATATAGTTCGGTATCAGTCACAACGGAGTAGTTGGATTTATTCTTTATCTTACTCCTCCTTCATACCTTTTCTTTTTATCTTTTAGAGTCATTTTCTCCATGCTTAGTATTTGTCATTATTCTTGCTGCTACATTATTTTAACTCACTTCCTATTCGTTTTAACAAGACAAGAATAATGACGAACGAAAAAATCATTGTGTAGTGCATTGTGTAAGGTAGCAAACTATTATCGACATCAAACATTTAAGTGGAACGTAATAAATGACTAGGTGTATTTGTTTCTTATTTTGAAAACACAATCTAAATACTCTCTTCAAATTAAGTAATTTATTAACTTACATAAACCAACAACAATCAATTAATTTGTTCAAATCCTTCAAGACTTCTTCATATTCAACTCCTTAAAACAGTAGAAGTTCTTGATATCAACGAAAAAAGCTTAAACTATATGTACAAAAAAATACGCCTAATCGTTGTCTTTACAGTATCCTTAAACTATTATTATGATTTCACTTTAGTAGTTTCACATCTCGCACTCGCGAGATTCGTCCAGTGCTTCCAGGTTTTCCACGGTGGTCTAGCTTCAATTGACTCATGATCTTAACTATAAAATTACTAAATCTCCACAAAAACCCCCTTGTCAGAATTAATTCTGATGTCACTTCATTTTAATTAACTCATCTGATACTTTTAATTACTGTTACCAAAACATTTTACTGAAATCATGAATCGATCTAAGTTAGACCAATATTAAAAACATGGAAACAGTAAAGATTTTAATTAATTTATACCGTCTATATTCATTCCTAACTTTACAAGACATTTATTAACGCTAAATAATTTAGAAAACGATAAGTTACATCGTATTTATTCATTATTTATATATCCTCGCAGAATTAATGCGTATATGATTGTACAGCTTGATAATAAATCTGTACAGTAGAGGTCCCTTCGTTGAACTTCGGGTTTCTAACAAACGAATTATCGAAAAATACAAAAGTATACAATATATAAGTTTCGATTCTCAATAAATAGGAAATTAATAAGTACATCCCTTACATGAATATTCAGGGTATAATGAGTACCGATGATAAATAATACTGCGAAAAATTTACGCCTAAAGACACAATAGCGGAAATATTAAAAAAACATTTTTAAGAAAAAAAATTCCCCAATAATTTATCGTACTGTATAAAAACGCCTAATTTATTTTTTTTATATGTAAAATGGTGGAATAATAATTTATGGATGACAAGAAGAAAATAAAAACGCCCATATATTATGACTTGGGAGAACCTTTTTATAAATTATAATATCATATGATATATTAGTTTAGTTAGTAATTTAACAAAAATAAAATTCAAGTTAATAGTTAACATAGATATTACAAATTTCAATATCAGATTTAACTTATGGACGCCCCCAAATGCCCTGATACGGCCGAGAGTGGGCAGAGTTCGCTTTCCCTCACGAAATGCTCTCACATGGCCACGCGAATATATAGCCTCTTCCAGGGAAGTCCTACTCACTGCCTTCTCGTGGCATTACTGTTGTTTACGAAACTGTGAAGACAAAAAGCGAATGTCCGGCGCTTTAACCGGGTTGGTGGAAACAGAAAGTCCATCTAGGGGAGTTGGAAAACTCTGATTCCAAACAAATGGTGCACACGGGCTCCACTATCCTGAAGGAACATATGGCTGATGAATAAACTGTTGGTCACCGGCTACCATGGGACTGCATCTTCTCACGATGCTACACTGCCTTGTGAATCAGATCTTTAGGTCAAAGGCTCCGGATGTGGCCCCCTAAAAAAACCACCAGCTTCAGTTTGGGGCAGTATCACGGGCCTCACACAAATCGAATGAGATTTGTGCGGCGCATGCATGCCTGGTGCCCAATGGTACCAATATTTTTATGTTTAAATAAAAATAAATTAACTTACGGACAAAAAGGTTAACTGTTAAATACATCAAGATGAATTACTGCTGCATGACAATTTACAATCGGTTAAAAATCACGGTAAATTAAGTGGTTGCTAATATAAGTAATTCAAAGATTTTTGTACTATGATTTTACTCTTATGTGATGTGCGAAATAGAAGAAAAAAAGAGATATAATACTATATAGAAGAGATTCAATAACAAGATGTAGCATACGTCCAGTTTTTTAATAAACTCATAAGATATGCAGTTGAACTAACACTACTACTTGATGTACGTATTGGTTGCTAGTACAAAGTATACTACATTGTAAACATGTATTGCATTAACTGTTAACAGAATGAACAGCTGATGGTTGTTAACTACTTCATTTTATAGTCAATTATTAAATACTTAAAATACTATTTTCAGATCAAATCGTACAACCTATTATTATGATAAATTTTCTACTAACAAACACACACATGATATTGAATAATTTCATTGAGTACAACTAAATTAAACTAATTAAGATTAAAAAAACGTTAATTATAAGTTAATTTTTTGTTTAAAATGATAGAAGAATCAAAAGTAAATCATTCTAATAGAAAGATTATTAAACCTGACTTCAAAAGATTTTATTTTAGTGTTTATATTGTATGCAAATCAATTTTTAAACGAAAAGAAATCAAACAAAATCTTCAAGTATGTAATAAGTCATACATTTGGATCTTTCGATAAAAATTTGAATAGTAAGAAAAAGATTTTGTAGAATAATATGAATTCATTATATTTCAAGGTTTCTTCTCATCAGCCGGAAACGGCCTAAATTTTACGTCAGTGTTAATATTATTAACTCCACCTGTAGCTCTTCTGGAGTTACTGGCGGTCGCAAGCCTGGATAAAGGAAGAGGTTTGGGCATGGGGTCGGCAACGCCCCCAAAGAAAAAAATCTTGCTGAAAAAATGCCAACCAGATTAAACAAAGTAAACCACTTAAACTCTGCCCTGCGAGTTTAAGAATTATGACGCCTCATGATTAAAGCCGAAATTTTTCGGAAGTCACGTGGTCTATGCTCCTTCTATCAACCAGAAAAGCAATTTTTATAGGTACATGGAATGTCCGGACAATGTAAAAGACCGGGAAGATCAGTCAAATACCAACGGAAGCGAGGAGATACAAATTGGCAGTAATCAGAGTCAGCGAGACCCAAGCTATACAACAAAGGCTAGCTATAGGAGAGATGATACTGTACTCCGGTCACGAGGAGGAAAATGCTCCACATACTCAGGGAGTTGATCTTATGCTGCCCAAAGAAGCACGAAATGCACTTACAGGATAGGAATCTCACGGATCCAGAATTATCAAAGCATCAATCAAAACAAAGAAGGAGGGGATCACAATGAATTTCATTCAATGTTATGCGCCCACAAATGAAATCAAAGACGACGATAAAGATCAATTCTATGAGAGTCTGCAATCAAACACAGCGAAATGCCCAAGAAAGGACCTCACCATCCTGATGGGAGATCTAAACGCCAAAGTCGGAATGGACAACATAGGATATGAAGATATTGTAGGATTTATTTTGTCCTAAAGATATACTATTAAAACTGTAAACGCGATACTGGCGATCTCAGAGTCTATGTGAAAGCTATAGTCAGAACAAGGACAACTTGGCTTTAAACTTTATCTGTTTCTAAACATAAAAACAATCAGATTAGTACAATAATTAAAGAATTACAGTCATTAAGTGAAACGCACAAACATACCGACCAGTATTGCGTGTCTTAATAAAATGAATAAAATTTATGAGTCACACTAATATAATAGGATAATAATGTCTTTCAATTGGTAAGTCACATGCAACAGGGATAGTTTACAGACACATCAGACCATGTTAAAGTGGTGAGAGCTTAAGCAACGATTTGATTGGTTAGTTATGGACATAACTAACATTCCCCCCCAAGCGGACACCACGTCCAGGCTTCATTACTGTCGCGTCTATATAATCGGCTTCTCCAAAGAGACAGGTTCCGTATATCCCGGCTGATCTCTTCAGTTGAACTGTTCTGACTCGTCCATTTGGACCATAATTGACCCGTCTAACTATAGCTTTCGGTCACAGATTCCTCGGTGAGCCAATATTGTTTACTAACACTAAATCTCCTGGTTGTAAATTCATCCTCATGTCCAACCACTTAGATCTCGCCTGAAGGGTTGGTAGGTACTCCCGAAACCATCTGTTCCAGAATAGGTTGGCTAGTTTTTGAGCTTCCTTCCATCTCTCGTTATATAAGCACGTTTTACTCATCTGCGCTTCGTCGAATGATACACCTCTGTAAACTAACAATAACTTATTTGGCGTAAGTACATCCAGGTCATCACAGTCGTTAACTAGCTTTACGAATGGTCGATTGTTTATTATCCCTTCAATCTCTATTAAAAACATCTCCAAAGACTCGTCCGTCAATACCTTTTGAAACAGTAGTGATTGTAGAATCCTTCTTATCGACTTTATAATGCGCCCCCATACACTGCCTCGATGACTAGCTCTAGGAAGTTTAAAACGCCATTCACAACCTCTTTCTAAAAGAGCATTTGCTATCTTATTCTGGTTCCAACTACACATAATCTGTCTACGATTAACAATGGCTTTTTAAATTTATCAGAACCATCCTTACTCTAATTCACAACTCGCACAACGGCGTCTTTCCCAACACCATGTACAATACCACGGCGAATATGTGCTGTCTGCTTCTTCACAGTCTTATTTACTGACTTCTTTGTTAAAGTGACCTTTGGCTTTTTCGGTGTCTTCACTTTCGGCTTGGTGACCTTCTTTTTCTTAGGCTTTCTTAGAGTTGTTTTGGGATTATGATCACATGGTGCTTTTATTTTTGGCTTAGCAACCCTGGACTTGGCTAATAAAAAGGAACGATGAACTTGACCCGAGACATCTTTAAAACGAGCATACGCCACAACACCATATGCGAATTCTGTGGCGTCGAAAAAGCGATAAATCTGAGTAGGTAGTGGTTTGTATAATCCTAGTACGAGACATCTGGGAAGCAACAGTTTACTTAAGCGCTTCATACCTCTGATCATACAGTTCCATCCTATAAAGCACTCCCTAGGAAGCTCTTCGTTGCATGGAAGATTTAGCCGACAAGCATCTTGCGAAATTAATTTAGCTGGTAAAACAATTGGAGCTATAAACCCATCTGGGTCGAATATAGATGCTACATACGACAAAATGGTTTTCCTTGCAGCAGTCACATCCAACTTGCACATCCTGAAGATCTTATCCGTTCGAACATTCCACTCTTTTCCTAGAATCCTTTCATTTTCTTCCACAGATAAACAAATATCTACGTTCCTGTATATATGGTCTCCCTTTGAAATAAACTTTATTAATTCAACATTGTTGCTGGCCCACGTGGTTAGATTAAAACTCCCTAAATGTAACATTTCCTTCAGCTGAAAATATACTAACTTAGGATCTTCTAACGTATCAACACTGGTTAATAAATCATCAACTACTACTACTACTGCACTACTGCAAATGCTACTGGTCTCTGCATACGCTTAACACTTCCCTCCGTACAGAAATGAGTATTAATGAAAGCATCACTATCGCTATCTCTCTGTTCTCCCTGCTTCCTATGTAACAAGGTATGGTGTATCCAACCACATCCTTTGACGGTACATGATCTTGGTGCTCGACAGTTTCTTGCCATATGGTTCGCCTTCAGACAGACATTACATAACTTCGTCCTTAATACAAATTCTATTCTTTCACTAACATCTTTATCTCTAAACCTTTCACATTGGTCCAATGGATGGTTCCCAGTACATAATAAACATGATAACCCAAGAGTTCTTGGTCCTACGTGTGAGTAGACATCAGACTCACTCGTGTTAGCAAACGACACTCTTGCTTTGTACTCTGAGTCAAGGGGCTTTTTTGTAACGGTAACCGATTGCCTTTGGTTGCGGTTAGAAAGATCACCACTGACAAGTAATCCATACCTAGTATTAGCAATGTCTGATTGCTCCTTCACAAATTCACAAAGGTTCTTGAATAAAGGCTCTCTACCCGTCTTAAGAATCCTAGATGCAACTTTAACCCATTCTCTCTGTAAATGCAGTGGGAGTTTTAAGAACATACACTCGATGGTCTTTGTAGAATTAAGATCGGATACATAGTCCATCTGCGTAAGTGTGAGCTCACAAACATGCATATCACGAGACAGTCTTCTTAAACTATCTGGATCAGTTCCCTTAATAGCAGGTATATTCAGCATCTTATCAATAAATGCATGGGCCACGATGTGCTTTTGATCAAATGCTTCCTCGAGAAGCTCTAACGCCTTACGATAGCCTTCTTCTGGCTCAAGCAATGCACAGTGAACAATGGTAGCCTTAGCTTCACCATCACAATACTGAATCCAATAGTTTAACCTAGATCGGAATCTAACTCTTTCGTCAAAACAGTCTTCGAAATTTCGTATGAAACTCCAATAGTTCATGGGATTACCATCAAACCTTATAATCTCTCTATTTGGTAGGTCTAAAGCTTTAGATATCATTGTTATCCAGTCTTTTCCAGGAGGAATATCAACTGCAGATGAGGCAAATGTAGACTTATACATCATCTTGTCAGCCATAACTCTCTTCCTTTTTGACGTAACTGTTCTAACTCAATTTCTCTTTCTGTCTGAGCCAAGCGTATTTTGGCTAACTCTAACTCTAACAAGGGATCCATTCGACAGCTATTTCCTCCAAACTGATCATCATTATGAGTTTCCGAATAGTGGGGAGACAATTCAGGAATCTGATCCGTTTTATGATTCTCCATCGACATTTAACAGATATAATTGGAAGACATGGACTGGGAGAGAGAAATGAAAATGGGGAGAGATTTGCAAATCTGTGTGCATTTAACAAATTGGTTATAGGCTGCACAATATTCTCACACAAACCTACATGAGCCTCCTTGGATCACACCGCAGAGAACCAGATAGATCATATTTGTATCAACGAAAAATTCCGAAGGACAATGGAAGACGTGAGAACCAGAAGAGGAGCTGACATAGCTTCAGATTACCACTTGATCGTGGTTGCCAAGATGAAACTGAAGCTAAAGAAACATTGGACAGATGGGGAAACAGCAGTACAATGGTTCAATACAATCTTCCTTCAAGATACTAACAAACTCAACCAATTCACGATAACTCTCAACAACAGGTACCAAGCATTACAGGATATGCTGAAGAACAAGAAACTATGATGGAGGACAACTGGAAGGGAATCAAAGAAGAATGAAATTCAACTATTCAGGAGGTTCCGTGTCGCAAGAAGCATAGCAATAAGGAATGGATCTCTATGGGAACCCTGGACAAGATTGAAGAAAGGAAGAACAAGAAAATAGCGATTAACAACAGTCGAACACGAGCAGAGAAATTCAAGACACAAGCAGACTACTCAGAAGCAAACATGCAAGTGAAGAAAAGCATTAAAGCCGACAAGCAGAAATACATGGGATGATGATGAAATCATCAGGAAATCCCAGAGTAGAAAAGGTAGTAACAGTATTAGTTGTAACAGAAGGGATTGGGCATCAAATATACTATTTGAGAAAATACAAAATAGCGAAGTAAAAAAATCATGAGGAATTAAGAGGCTTAGGATTTGAAAGGAGAAAAATAATGGACACACCTGCGTCATTGTAAACTATTTTGAGCCAGGTCACGCAAAATCTCTAACCACTGGATACGATATTCACGCTGATCCCAACCAGGTAGCCCACACTTATTGACATGGCTCGGTTCAATTATCAGTGACTTCATGGACTGATATCATGTTTCGGTTTAGCCACCCCTAGCTTCCAATGCACACCTACATCAACCATCATCACGCATCGAGGTAGTCAGTGGATACTTAATGTATTATTCCAAAGATAATAATCAGTTTATTTACAAAATAAAATTACACCATGCTTTATTCTTCTGTTTATCAAAGCTTAAGAAAACGTTAACAAATCCGATTTTAGGATTTCAACAGCATCCTCACGAATTATTTGGCACGTGATTAAATGTTTAGAACAATAGATCACAACAGGTCACAAATTCGGAGCATTGTCTACCTAAGCAGGTTTAAACAGTTGGATGGTTTCATAAGTGCTCATATAGTACAGATCAAAGATAAGTAGGTAAACCTGAACTAACTTGTTAAATGAATTACAACACTGCATAAAATGTTTGAAAAGTTTAAACTTACAGAATTTTTATCCATGTGATTATCATCGGAAATCGTGTTGAACTTCGAAGATTTCTGAGATTTTACCTTTCGTTTATTTACAGTTATTTCCAAGTTAGAAATAGATTTACAATTATCCACTTTTTGATTATCAATTCTTTCCAAATTAATCACGGCATGAGTAGTAAAATTATTTATATTATTATTATTATCATGATACAAATGATTTATGTCACTTTGATCTTGTGAATGCTTTGCTTCTAACTCATCGATTTCACGTTCCATACGAACTAAGTACGGTAGATCAGTGAGACCGTAACGACTTGCAATACGTGCAACCTCCATTAGGGTAAGCAAAACATTTTTCTCCTCAGTCTTATTCACTAAAGACAAAAATATTATTGGATGAAGAAACATTAAAAGTGAAGCAAATTAATGGAATAAAATTAATGGTAGTAGTATTCTTGGAATTTAATGAATTGATCATAACAAAGAGAAGCTTGATTTGACAAGTGCACAATTTTTGAAATGAACAGCCGAAATCAAGGGTATGTTACTACAAAAACAATGGAACTCTGAATGTATATAACGCTTTCATATACTAATGGGTATTTAGCAGCTGTACAATCGATTTTTTTCAATCTTAAAGTAGATTACTTTCGAATTAAGGACTAATTCTAAGGAAGCCCATATTTTATTTTGATCATAAATACTTATAGACGATATCTTACATTCTTCTTTTTTACAATATTCACACGAAGACTCTCCAGAAATAACTTCGTGATGTGATGACCTGAAACGAATTTTTCCCTAAGTTTTTAAACATTTGCACGACATAAGAATGCGTCATATGCGTCACAACTGAAACGATTTAGTTCAGAATTTACTTTGGACAAAGAATAAAGCAATGAGTTTTGAATAAATTGTCTTTCTGATAGAATTTACAACACAAGTGAAATTTTCATCTAGTTTCCATGTCCTATTCGTTGTATGACGACGTCAGGAAAATACTTTTTCTTATCACTTGTGAACTATCCAAAATGAAATATACCTCTTATAAACCTTATCATAATATTTAAGTTACTTCTCACAGAAACAATAAACATCGCTATTTTCATCCTAATTAGCTTTTTTGTTTTGAAGAAAGTTTGCCAGAAATCAATGGGTGTAGGCAAATAAGCATACGTTAATTAAGATGTGAGAAAAAAGTATTTTGAAAAGAATTAAAAAAATCAAAATTAAATTTTTTTTCCGGTAGAAACCGTTGACATATATCATTTGAATTGTTTAAACACCAACTTATGATGTGAATACACCATTAAATTGATGAAAATTTACAATTTTTTTCTGTCATTTACTTCAATTGTAAAATAACGCTTAATCAATCTACTGATTTGTTGTATATGACAATACTGTGTACATTAATTTAAATCTGTTGCATATAGAAATGACAAAATATTAGTCTCTTCACTTAGTTACCGGTATAACTAATTGTGTTTATTATTGTGAATTATGATAGTTGACTGTGAAAATTGCTTAGTTTACTAAAGTATACAACAATTAAAATTTTGCGTTTTAAATGTTTAGTTAATACCACCCTATTATCTGGTTTATTAAGATCATATGATAATGTTAATGTGAAAATAAGACTGAACATTTAATGCGTAACATTTGTGAATGTTCCAAACGAAAAAAACAGCAATGTGGTTTAGTTAGCACTTCTCATACAAAAAGAAAACACTCAGTTGTTAAGTATGTGAATGCATGTGGTATGAAGGTAAATTACATGTAATTATAATAGAATATAAAGCATAGACAACGAGTACTCTATGTAATGAGTCTATGTATCACTACTAAATATATCAGAATTAAAGATTTAATTTTGAGGAGGTGTATTGCTATTATTACTATTACCATTATATGACAATACAATTAATATCCTTAGATAGTCATTAAGTAGTACCACCTATTAACAAAAATCAGTAGCAAACTAGTTATATCTCGAAATCTATCTTGCATCAATCATTGAATATATAACTATTCAACGGCGAAGTATAAAAATAACCACATTTAGTAATATGAAGTTACAGATATAATCATATGCTAAATGATGACTCAATCATGATTATCGCATTAAAAAAGAGTAGGAGATATGACATTATACATACACCTCAAAATATATATCTCAAACGGATGTTCCTTAGTGTTTCTATACTTGAGATAACTAACTATTGGATTGAGCTTTTCTTTATAGGTTCTTTATAGATTTAATAGTTAAGTAATATTTTAAATTCTTTTCAAACAACGGGCATAATTAAAAGGTTAGTAATAGAAATATGTAAGTGATGTCCTTGTCTTATTTTATATGATATACAATTAATCATAATCTTTATAGAGTTCATTAATGTAGTAGTATAAGAAATAATTTTTATTGGAATAGAATTTACTTAAAAGCAACCTACTTAAAGTTATATCTATCATATGATTTATTTTTTAAATCAATTTCATCTTTATATCATTCTCCTTAATCAAAAAGAACTTTTAGTTCATCATTTTAGTTCAATTTCATTTAATTATTAACTATCTACTAGTATACATCAATTGATTGTAATCAATGCAGAATCTAGTACAAATGTATGTCATCTCAAGTTGTCACATCATATTAACATACATAGTAAGATAAGATTGTCAAGTTGAATAACGAAGGAATAGTAATAAGAGTAACATTAGTGAGAGTAAGACATACTTTACATAACAGTATACTGATATCACTAAAAGATCTAAGCTGAACAACGATTGGGAACTCCAAAGTACTAAACGGACGTTTCGTTCTAGTGTGAGACTCCTCAGAAGTTAGCGTTCATGAAACGGTCATTCAATGCTTCCAGGTTATAAATGGCAGTCTAACTTAAAAAGGTTCTTGATATCAATAAAATGGAATTTTCATCGTTATACAGTACGTAAATGTTTCGGTTTCCTACAAAACATAATCATCGATATGAATTTTTCTTAAAAAGGATATACCTAACACCCTCTCAATATGAAACTTATTATTCAGGTAGAAATTAATGAAATTGGGCTGCAAATTATATTCATGGTATAAAAAATAATCAAGCTAACTGACTTTAAATATCGAAGATTGGGTCCTACCTAGTCAATGTTTCAATGACTGAATATCGACTGAACCACTTACTCCATATGAAACCGCTTTATCTGAATTTAATCAAGCCAGTAAAATCCATGTATTAGCTAAGTGATGATAATAACGAACTATGATTAGCTAGTAGTTAGTTAGAGCATATTCTCTATTTGTTTGTTGAGTGATAAAAAAGGCAGACAATAGTAGTAGTATACAAGTTTCCTCCGATTATTCTGATATCACGTTAACTGATAAATATGTGTAAAACAACTAAGCTTTTGAAAAAAAAAGCAGAAAACTAACAGTAATGTAAAGTACAGACTGCTTTTATACACCTACTTTATACTTTAAAGAATAGATTTCACAAGCTTATGAATATCGTCACATGATTTATGTTGTTGAATAGTAAAAGTATTTATTTCTAATTAAGACTATTCTGATCATTTTATCAAAAACTAATAAACCAGCAACAATAATTTGCAAAACTATTCTAAATGAAAAGTAACAAAAAGCAGAGATGGATGGTAGCTAGCAATGGAACCCAGGACGCACGCTTCATCCTGTTTGGTATTCGTCAGCTGGATGAAACTGGGGCTCAAAGTTGATGTTCACCCTGGGACTCGGAAGCAGTACCCTCCGCTTCAAGTGTCATCACGTTGTCCATTTAGCTACTGAGTCCAATAGCTACTAGATTGTGGAATGAGGTGACGTTTAATTCATTTGTATTGGCGCGACCGTTGCTGCGACCTTGACGTAGTGGTCGGGCTCGCCTATCGTGATACGGCAATCGAGCTATACTGGCTGGAACAATCGTTCCCCGAGGTCCTACCATGCCAGACAGGTCGGTTGAAGAGCCGTAAGACTAAAAGCAGCAATCCCAAGGTCCGAAGGCGAAGTCGTACTGCCGACTGTACAGAGGTGTGACGGCAGTAAGGTGTTTCATTCAGAAAACCAGCATGACAGCGATGCTGCCTTCCCACAAGGAGGGGTAGGGTTAGAAAAGGTGGACCCTAAAAATGCACACCTCGACCTTACTTACTTACTTACTTGTTTACGCCTGTTACCCCTCGTCGAGGAGCATAGGCCGCTCACCAGCATTCTCCATCCAACTCTGTCCTGAGCCTTCCTTTCCAGTTCTTTCCAGTTACTATTCAGCCTTTTCATATCGGCTTCTATTTCCCGGCGTAGTGTGTTCTTTGGCCTTCCTCTTTTCCGCTTCCCTTCCGGATTCCAAGTTAGGGAATGAGTCGTGATGCACATTGGTGATTTCCTTAATGTATGTCCGATCCACTTCCAACGTCTTTTCCTAATTTCCTCTTCAGCTGGAAGCTGGTTTGTCCTCAACCATAAAACGCTGTTGCTGATAGTATCCGGCCAATGGATGTTGAGTATTTTGCGTAGACAACTGTTTATAAATACTTGTACCTTCCTGATGATGGTCGTAGTAGTTCTCCACGTTTCAGCTCCATACAGTAGGACTGTCTTGACGTTCGTATTAAAGATTCTGACCTTGAAATTGGTTGAGAGTTGTTTTGAGTTCCATATGTTCTTCAATTGTAGAAATGCTGCCCTTGCTTTGACAATCCTCGCCTTTACATCTGCATCCGATCCTCCTTGTTTATCAACGATGCTCCCCAGGTACTTGAATGTTTCCACCTCTTCCAGAGTTTCGCCATTAAGTGTGATTGGGCTGGTGTTCTCCGTGTTGCATTTGAGAATCTTGCTTTTTCCTTTCTGAATGTGGAGGCCTATCGATGCGGAGGCTGCTGCTACATTTGCTGTCTTCATCTGCATTTGTTCGTGTGTATGAGAGAGGAGGGCTAGGTCATCTGCGAAGTCCAAATCATCTAATTGATTCTGAGCTGTCCGTTGTATTCCGTATTCCACCTCAGATGTCGAATTCTTCATAATTCAGTCAATCACTAGAAGGAAGAGAAATGGGGAGAGTAGACAGCCTTGTCTGACTCCGGTCTTTACTGGAAATGCATCTGTCAGCTGTCCACCATGCACCACTTTGCACTGTAGTCCATCGTATGAGTTTTGGATAATGTTGACAATCTTTTCAGGAACTCCATAGTGTCGAAGACGTTTCCATAATGTTCTCCTGTCCACGCTGTCAAACGCCTTTTCATAGTCGATGAAGTTGACGTATAGTGATGAGTTCCACTCAACTGATTGTTCAACGATGATCCGTAGTGTCGCAATCTGGTCTGTGCACGACCGATCCTTACGGAATCCAGCCTG